AGGCGTCAGGTATAACATATCATGGAGTAGCAATTGAATAAAAATTAGCTCTGAAATCGTTGACTCGTTTTCTCGTAGGCTCTGAATATATTTATGAACGGGAATACCTTCATTCGCAGGTAATGGTAAATCGCATTGGTCGCTCGAGGGAGGGCGCTAATGGTTGCAAAGGGTGGGCGAAAGGCAAAAGGAACAACCCAGAAGAAATAACGGAACATGAAGACAGAATTATCGTTGTTACCGAAGCAGGCCCTCAGCAATATCAGGGACTGACTCGTCTTGGCTAGGCTCGTTCATCACTTGCTGGTCTGTTTCCAGATCTTCTGCCGTAAGACGTTGTACCCGTTCCCGCTGCGAGGCTTGCTGAGAGGAGGCGTTACCAGGATTCCCTCGATAGTAGACGGAGTCGTCAAAAACATTCAATTGCTCAAGCTCCTCATAATCCGGTAACGGAAGAGGTGAGCCTGTGTAATTTTCCACGGTACAGGCGACTCTGTCTGGCATGACATACCCGGGGGGGCTGGCAGGCACATCATCATACACCGGTGGCATTTCCTCATCCCAACTGATTCCCAGGCCACCGCGTTCCGTGACATGAAGCGAAAACACCATACGCAGAACTCGCGCTGCCCCCGTTGGTGCGGGTAGCCTAGAGTGGCTATCTGGGCAAAATTCTTCTGAGACGATTTGTTCTATGACAATATCATGTCTGACCTCCAAACCTCCATCAGAGGTTGGGGAGACGTTACACAGCGGGTCTGCCCCTGGTCTTATGTTGGCTTCGAACTCCATTTTTATCTCCCCGCCAGTAGTCTCAAAATCACTCTTCCACCCGGATCGCTCTTCACCGTGGCCGATTATACGTGTCGTTTGGTGCAAAATGCCTTTGCCCTCGACCACTTTGTGGGAGTGTTTGGGACAACCATGGGATATGATGCACTGATGCTCTTCGATCCGCCACATTGTCTTCCTTAAGCGCCATCTAATGTGGCCCTCATCCTTTTTTTCCACAACGCCACGAAGGGTGAACTGGATGGGAAAGTTTCCAGTTGGGTAAATTACTGATGGTATTATAGCCTGTCCTATAAGGTTGGTGGGGGGGAAAATGCGCATCGAAGATCTGTCGGGTCCAGGCATAATTGCTCGTTTGATTTTGATGGGCTTGTTGAGACGGAGTTCCTGTCCCGTTGCAGTCACGGCTAACGCGGACAAGTTATAAGCCACCGAGCCCAGTGATCCTTGGACCGTTGGTTGCAAATTGCCAGCAAACAAGTAGCTAAACGGATAATCATGAATTCCGCTTTTGAGGTGGGCAGGCTCTCTCAGGAATTCCCAGCTGGTTAGTTCATCGATTTGAGCTTTGCAAGCCGGGCAATCCCTCGATATGGGTTTTTTCGTAGAGACTTTGCGGGTCAAGCACATTCGTAATGCTTTGAGCGTGACTTGGCCAGTTCCATCCGATACCGAGAGCAGGATACGGCCTGACATCAATGCGCCGGTAGAGCGACTGGGGGGACCATATAGAACCAATGGCGGGGATTCGATGGTGATATCCAAGCTGGTAGCGGGCAGGTGGCTACCTGATGATTTATCTAAGGGGCGCAAATGGATTAAGCTACGCCGCTTCTCCTTATGTTCTCGGTTGCGGTTAGGATGGATCAAATGATCCATTGAGAAAGAAAGGCGTCGTTCAGAAGCGTCTGGCACGGGGGATTGTGGTCTAGAATGGTTGTTTAGGGAGGTTGTGCTACTTCGGGAATAGGACGAAAGGGCGGACCCAATGGTATCTCGATCGTTGTGCTCATGAAGTAGGGAGGAGAAAGCGGGCGGTGAGAGGCCGGCCGACGCCCACACGAAATTTGGGATAAGTCTTCCAGGCATAGTCACGGCTCGGATCTGTATTGCCTGGGAGTGACTGCCTTCGACAGGATATGAAATAAGTAGGAATGATGGCGCACGCGAAACCGACGGCGAAGGGCCAAAGGAGGCCGGGTAAGGAGCAGCCAGACAAGACAGCAAGATGACTGACTGTTGTCTCCTCAATTTAACCTCACTTCTGTTGTGCCTTCGCCTTTCTGCTGATGAAGTCTTTAGAGCTTCTTTTTCATTCCCATTTGACGTTTGGGGAATGCCAGTACTTACATGCTGCAACGAACACTTGGGCTCACTCCGATACTCCTGAGCATCAATTCGCTATCCCGATGGCTGTTGGAGACGACAATGGCGGCGCGGAACGAAGAAGCTCTGCAGGGAATAAAAGCAAAGGCAGACGTCCTGTTTTGTTTTATGGAACCGGGAAGTTTAAATCACGGGATCGTCAATTAAGGACCTCAGCATCAAGGTGGCAACCACCACGCTCCAGGGCTGTTGTTCGGTATCCGCCCAGCTAAGCTGTTCTAGACCCCGTTTCAGGAATCAGAGCCAAAAAAAGGTTTTCTGTACTTCCTGCTTGTTTCCTTGGGGTGGGTGAGGGTCCCCGGGTCCCCGGTATCCCAACCCCAAACCTCCTCAGGCCTCTGGACTCCTCTTTGAATTCTGCATGGATAGGGATATTGATGGCAAAACGGCCGGGTTCTCTCGCAGCTCGCCGAGGGCACTCCATCGCCTATAGCTTCTACAGCGATCCCAGTCTCCGCGGGCCACCAGAGTGCGTGTCAGCAACCACTCTCAAATTTGGAATACGAGAAATCTTAGACCTGGTGACCGTCATCCCCGCTGCCATCGTTGTTCCTCAACAGGGCAGCCTTTGCTGCCACAAAATGTCAGGGCCAATTAAGCTATGACTCAGGCCACCAGCTCAAGCTTGGCGCGCTGGAATGCGGTTCCACTAAGAAACTAGGGCTAAAATAGCCCGCATATACTCCAGAACCAGAGGAATTCAAGCTAAAAGCAGGTGGATCGGAGAGAAGCCGGAGCAACGCGCGACAACACGGCAACGTGCCGGGACGTTCTGTGACGTTCTGTCACACATTGCCAGTCAGGGGAAAGAATTTAGCCAATGGCGGACCTGAACAGCGGGGAGCTTAACCTGATCTCGAGTGCGTCAAAGACTCCAAACTGCCAACTTTGAAACTTGAAAACTACGTAGGGGCAAGCTAAGATCCAGTCATATATCGACCCATGGGCGGATCATTTAGAAGCTCTAGCCAACGTTCAGCTTTGACCTTCCAGATTACAACTGATTTAAGTTTGAAGCCGCACTGGCCTGGATTGATTGCCGTCACGGATGCGAATAGTCCAATCCGGATCATATCCCATAATTTTTGTACCTGGGGTTCTATTTATTACAGTCATCCATCCAGGCTTAGCAGTTGTGGCAGTGGGCGAATCTCATTTCATTTGCTTATTTCATTTGAGCATACAAGCTCGCATCCGGACAATGTCACCCTGATGTCCGTGACCAAGATGTCTAAAATTAACCACCTGGTAGGAACCAATTAAATACACAGCAAAGAAAGAGAAATAGCGTTAACTGAGAACGGAAAAAGAATCTTCTAATAAAAAGCCCCGAAGCATTTTCGGTGTGCTGATAAAGCACACAACGAAAATAAATTTAAAACATAAAGTAATTACAGAACTAAATAAAATGATCTCTGCAACCCCGCACTAAGCCGTCGATCATGCTAGCAAGCGTGAGTATTGTCCTTGACGGGTTGGTGGCGGCGTGGGGGAGCTGTTGGTCCATGTAAGTTAGTCCGGAAGAAAATTTTTTTTGCAAGGTTGATACGATGATGAAATCCAGAACGAAAGTTAGTCCCCCTATATACGGGGGAAATACGATAAGACAAGGCAATAATAATCACTCCATCAACCATGCAAAGTATCATACATTATCTGTTCAAAATTTTACCTCTTCAATTGACAATTTTGTAACTATGCTCCGTGGCTGGGGTATGAATACGAACCATCCATGCGGCTTGATTCTCTCCTCTGGGCGTGAAAAGTTCTGTGCGAACCAGAAGCTATTAATAGGAGTTCTCACCGTGTGGCGGGATAAACACGCACCGTGCACTCTTTCGGCGGTTCGCCGTTGCCTTCAGGCGTGCAGTGGTTATCCAATAGGATATGGCATCATATTGTGGGAATCTGGCACACAAACCTGTCAGTCACTCGAAGAAAGAGAAAAAGGGGAAGACATGGACAGGGTGTGTGTCCTAAGTTAGCAGTAAGCCCGGCCCTTTCATCAATGGAACAGTTGTAAAGGTACTCAGTAGATGTTGCTTAAGCACTTGAACCCCCGGTCAAGGAGGTATATAAAATATTCAAACTGTCTGATGCCGGAAATAACATGCAATGGGTGGCAAGATCCATGTTGAGCAATACGAGAGCATCCGCCCTGCAAGCCAAAAGTTATCAACAACTTGATGCATCACAGTTGACAAAGTAGCCGCTCAATTGGGTCATTAAACGTCGAGACAATGCAGAGGTCCCAGATACTATATGGCCCTTGTATCTGCATTCTTCAAGCATCTTATCGTCGTGGCCTTCGCTCCTCAGGCTCCCCCCTTCCCCCCCCCAAAAAAAAGAAAAAAAAAAAAAAAAAAACACCACCACCACCACCCCCACCCTTGCAAAATGTGGAAGAGAGGAAGTAATGCCCGTCAAACAACACATGGCGTCTGCGCTATACACTTTCGTGGAATCTGACCGGCTGCATCATTGATCGATAAAAGAAAAAAATGTTTTAATGCTAGTATGACATGCAAGAAATTGAACAAGCCATCAACAGGAGCTTGAAAAGCCTATCCCAAACCCGGGAATGTCCAGACTATCGATATAATGCGCAGGGGTCTGTTCGTAGCAGACGGCATAGACCTTCTATGAGAAGTAACAACCCTTTTCAGCTTCGGAGAAAACGTATATGGCATGGCGTTCTTCCATCACGGAGTTGTTTAAGGACTCTGGCCCGCTTCTATACTCAAAGCTAATTCAAAATGAGAAATTCCGGGACGGCCAACGGAAGAACAGCAAAAGACGCATGTCCCCTCGATTTGCAGGGTTGTTGGCATTTGGGGAACCTTGATATCAACTGGACAGGGCGTTGCGTGCGTAAACTCACCCGGAGCACCTGCTCACCTTCTAGGTCGCTCTGTGTGGTGGACCACAGCTGATTCGATTTCTTCATTCTTGCGAGTCTGGAATTTGATTTCAGAGAGCAGAGCCACGTATCCGGGTGGGTAGTATCAATGACACTTTGAATGCGTAGAGAATTTTAAAGGACGAATATCATCCGTTCAGCCCTTATGCCACATGTGTAGCGTGAATGATAAGATGGAATGCCCAGCTGGCAGTTTTGCTGATGTGTACTAGGTTATTCGGGGGGAGTAGCATTATAAATTCCTATATCGGTAACCCAGACAGGTATCCGCTCCTGAATCGATTGTAGTTGAGAGAAAGTTCTTAGGGCTTTCCGAGCAATATTGACCACTCCAGGACAGGCGTGGTTGCAACGACTTTATGTGAGATTGTGAAGGTTAAACATTCGTCAATAGGGAGAACCAAATAGCGTAGCTTATACAGATCTGTACGCTTAGAGAAGATACTGGACATATCTGAGAATTGAGTAATGGACCCGATTCATACTCTGCTAGCAAGAAGTCGGTTTGATCCTCGGTGCCGAGGCGGCTCTAGGCGCGGCTCTTGGGGTATATCAGTTATTGACTTCTCCAACCTCATACTCCTATCCTCGTTCTATATTCATTGTATATTCTGGGCGCGGTAACATGTGTTCTCCAATATTTGACCCGATGGAGCAGAGTGAGAGCTGGCTCAGGGGAAACTCGCTAATTGTTTAGTGCCGAATTAAAATCCCCGAACAACGCCAACAGCGCCGAGCCATCTTGATCCCCCCTTACTGAGATTCACTAGAGCTGATCATGCCACGTTACCCGTTCCCGTCGAGTCCTTTGGCGGATGGTGCTGCGATGTCTTTCAATTGACCACGGCACCTCCCTCCGCTATCGTCCACGAATTGGGGAGAGGGGAGTGCGCGTTTCCCGAATGAACTCTGTTTATTCGCTGAGGCGCGCAGCATTGGAATCAGTTCGTCCCGCCATCCACTAAATACTTTATACTTAAGAATATCAAACTGCATTTCTTTTTCGGATATCGTGTTTCCTTCGCCGCGGCCGTTTTACATTATTTAGGCTGTGACTCTCTTGTAGTGGAGGTCTCTTGTAGTGGAGGAAACACGAACTCTCTTACCTACTTTTACACGAGAATTCTCAGCACCCTGAGCACCCTGAGCATTTCCCCAGCGCCCGCAAATTCCGCGGCCATGGATATCGACACCAGTCCAACTTTCCTCACCCTCGCCATTATCCCTGCGTTCCTCCTCTTCTTCTGGACTATCTCCGCGACCACAATCAAGTCGTCGTTTGGCCTTTCGTTCCCCAGTGTTCAGAACAAAAGGATATGCCTTTTGATCGCCCATCCCGACGATGAGGCAATGTTCTTTGCGCCAACACTGATAGCGATGACCCGGGCGGAATTGGGAAACCATTTAAAAATCCTTTGCTTGAGCTCTGGTATGCGTGTTTGGGGATTTTTCTTCCTCTTTCTACTTGGAGAAGTCAATGTTTCGATCATATCTCTTACCCAAGTCTACCATGAGTAACCCCCCACTAACCAAAGAAATTAAACGAAATAGGCGACGCAGCCGGCCTCGGCCACATACGTAAAAAAGAATTAAAAGCCAGCGCCCTCCGCCTCGGTCTCCGAAGCGAAGCTGACGTCTTCGTCGTAGACGACCCATCCCGCTTTCCAGACAGCATGACTGCAACCTGGTCCGCCTCCGACATCTCCGCCCTCCTTGCCTCTGCCTTCGCGCCCGACCTCCCCTCCGCTACGGCCAACGGCTCCTCCAAACAATCAAACAATCCCCCAACAGCCACCATCGACATCCTGATCACCTTCGACCAGTCCGGCGTCAGCAACCACCCAAACCACCGCTCCCTGTACCACGGCGCCCGCGCCTTCCTCCAAAACCTCATGAAGGGCAAATCTGGCTACGCCTGCCCCGTCACCCTCTACTCGCTGACGTCCACAAGTGTCCTGCGCAAATACATTGGCATTCTGGATGCGCCACTGAGCATGGTGCATGGGTTTGTTGGGGCTGTCTTTGATCGGAAGCCGGCCGCAAGTACAGCTAAGGGTAGACAGCCGAAACGACTGCTCTTTGTCAGCGGGATTACGGATTGGTTGGCTGGCGTGAAAGCTATGGTGCGCGCACACAAGAGCCAAATGGTCTGGTTTCGCTGGGGGTGGGTATCCATCGGGAGGTATATGGTTGTTAATGATCTGAAACGGGAGGCGGTATAGATATTTGAATGGGAGTTTTGGGACCTTCAAGGAGGGAGTTTGGATGAACTGTAGCTTGTGGCGATAGAAGGAGGAGTTGAAGGGTGTTGATGGATAGAGACATGTGTAGTTGTAATACCCATCTGTAACATAGTAGATGTTGTTGTAAGTTTATATACTGTACATACTATATACGGCATTTTTATATAATATAAAGCTGGTTTGTTCTAATAGTTCAAGAATGGTGATTTGATAGGCGGGATGCTTTTTGAAGTGAACAATGGGTAAAATCCAAGGTAGTTTTCTGAACAAATCTAAATTGTAGATCTTCCTAGTAAAAGTGTACTGTACATTACCCCATTACAAGCTCTAGAATTTATAAGACGAAGTAAAGATGGTAGAAACAAGAGTCCATGAGGGGTGCTTTAAGGCAACATGGCCTTGACGGGTTTAATGCTGGAGAGAGAAAATGGCAGGAGATCTGGGGTAAATATAAGGAGACAGGTTGGCCGGATTTTCATCTAACGTACATACATTTAACATGGGGTATCTGATATGTGGTCTGATGTGAGGCGGGATTCGGTAAGAATATCGAATATATTATCAATCCATTATGCGGTTATAAATTGTCAAGAAAGAAAGCATTAACATAAACACCAAACTAGTATGTTCGCGCAGCATCCAGCTCATAAAACTCTGTGTCGTGGGAACCATCCAGGCGCGCATTCGGGCGTTCGCCAATGATTTCAAAGTAATCCGTGAGCAATACGCCCTCGTCCGAATCGTACAGACCAAGTTCCCGATCAGTGACGCCCTTCTCCGGGCGCTCACGTTTGCCGTGGGGCCAGAAGCTGATAGGAAGGAACTCCACAATCCCTCCTCTAGTCTTATAGTATACGTTCTCTGGCAGAAATGCTTCCCACTCCCGCAGGAAGCGCGGGAGGAGTTGGCGTTCCCAATGGTCAGTGTCCGGGACCCATCGTCTGCCAACAATCAGTAGCCGCACCCATCGCTCGATAAATGATGCATCTCGGCTGGTATTCAGTTGCTCTAAATTGAAGGCAGCCTTCATGGCTCTGTACTCCTTTATCATGGATAGACTGACCGCTGGCGTGTCGACTTCCTCTGCGTCGTTGGCCAGGTCCGGGTCCATTGAGTCCTCCGCTTCAATTGCGTTTAGCCGAGTAAGTTGCCTTCTTACCCACCTCCGGTTAAGATAGCTAGGAGCCATCCCCGTTTCTTTGGCCTTAGCCTCTTCACGCCAGTATGGCATCAGCCGATTAGCCAGGTCTAGTTGATATTGTGCTCTTTTGGCTTCTCGAATAGCTTCATTTCTAGCGATTGGGTCAAGCGGCGCACTTGTATAATTTCCCATTCGCGTCCCTAAGCCAGATTTTTGGAGGTTGGTTATTAAGCGCTGGTAGTTATTCTTCAGCGTGACCTGCGTTCGAATTTTTTCTGGTAGGAAATTCAAAAGATGATCAACGAATGCGTATTTCGCCGTATTTCTTCTCCTTAAGGATTCCTGAAATAATGCATATCCTTCGCGCATATATTTCAAAGTATCGTCAAGATTACATCGTGACCAGGATGTGGAAATGAGCATGTCGTATAGTGGTAGTGTCGGCTTCACATTATATGGACTAGAGGTCATTGTATCAAACAGTCTCTTGACAGTTTCCTTGGGAACCTTCCCCACGCTGTTTTCCTCAGCTCTAGGACCCCACCTCTTGACGGACAAGACATAGGCCCATTCGATTAATTCCAACCAGACGGAGTCGGGAATAGGAATTTTGTAATGGGTAGAAATGAAGTCAACAAGTCGAAGTGCGGTGGAAAGATCGTTGTTCGAGCCAAATATGTGCGAAACTGCATACAAGATGCGAGATGTAGGATGTAGCGGGTCTGTGGGGTTGAATTGTGTAACGGGAGGGATGTTGGCCGGATCCTCACGAGTCAGCATCAACTCGACGTCGATATTCCACACTGTTTTCAGGACATTTTCCACGGCCACAATGTGGCCTTCTCTACTAGAAGCAACCATAATATTGACGTAAGTAGCTTCGTCGGGCTTCTGGCCGCTTGAAACCATTTCGTCAAACAACCGAAGCACTTGTTGCCGAACACTGTTTTCGCCGGCAGTGCTAAATCCTTGGTAACCAACATTCTTGTCGCTATAACCCGCTTCGCTTCCTATAAACCCAGGGCGTGAATCTTAAATTGAATTTCTCTTTCGACACGTATGCATGGTGCCACGCTTTTGCTTCCATGAAATGGTTGTAACAGGCAGTATTTGGCTCGATTCCGTCCACCCTCATATCGTGCCACAGACAGTCCGCCATGTCCGCATCTCCCATTGACCGTGCGCAATCCAGAAGATGAGTATATTCGGAAATTCCCAATTTGAAGCCAGCCCCGCGGCGTTTCTCAACAGCGAAATGAAGAACCCGTTTGAACTCGTCAAATGTTACTTCGAGCGTCTTATAACCCTTGGCGTGTGCCACGGCCGGATGAAATCTTCTGTGTAGTTTTTTATGAGGCTCGATAAAATGTGAAGGGGTAAGGAGGGAGAGTGCTACAGCAAACGCCGAGTCGGGTAAATTATACGTGATAGACTGGATTTGCTCAGGGCCCAAAAAGGCATATACAACCATATCTGGATTCTCTCTGTCAAAATAATCAAGAATTCCATCTTCCATGGAGTAGTATGTATCCATTAATTCGGTAGTGAAGGTTTTGTATGGTCTGCCGTCTTGTCTCTTCAAATCGGCTTCGGTCCGTCTATGGGTGTCAAGATTGAAGGATAGAGCTTGCAGGAGGAAAGGGGACTCTGACCCTTCCGGATCTTTGAGCTTCGACGCATTCCATGCTGTTTTAAGCCGCTTGAACGACCACGGACTGTACGCTTCCGTCGAGAGCTTTCTTGATTGTTGGGCAACAAAGCGGGCGCGGTGACCAGGGCGAACTTTATACCAGCGGAGGTAGCCATCACCGGTAAGCCGCGTGCAACATGACGGGCAGACAAAATGAGAGCTCAGGGCCTCACTTCTAATACCAATTCCTCGCATCAATGCGTGAGGTGCTAGAATGGGTCGAATCGGGAGGCTCAATCGTAGCTGGCAATGGATGCTAGCTGTTGGTGAAGTTGCTGCCGCTTTTTTTTTATCTTGAGTTTTGGAAACTGGCCGCACTAAACCGTTTTGGATTGCCGCCTGTCCACACCCTAGATCGATCGCGACCCCCCTCTTCGCGACGAAACAGAGAGAACACATGAATTACTTACTCTGTCTGCGCGCCATTATCGATTTTCCCCGTCCTGAGTTTGCCTGCAGCCATCATGGCTGACGCAGATGCCGGGGCTGCAGCTCAATTTTCGGAACCCTTGGATCTTGTCCGCCTCTCTCTCGACGAGGTCGTCTTCGTGAAACTTCGTGGAGATCGCGAGCTCAGGGGCCGCTTACATGTCCGTGTGATTCCCTCAATTGCGGTTGACTTGCGATGGTTGGATGATAGCATTGACGTCTCTCTTCTCTAGGCCTATGACAGTCACTGCAATTTGGTCCTAGGCGACGTTGAAGAAACAATTTATATCGTCGAGGAGGATGAATCTGAGCAGGAAGTCATTAAGGTCAGGTCTTGACCAAGTATTCATTGGCATTAGCTCGCCATGCTTTTCTCCATCGCTAACACCGTACCGTTTGAAGACAATCAAGAAGCAAGAAGAAATGCTTTTCGTAAGAGGTATGTAGCCAATTTCCTTCTACGCCGCTAGCAATCCAGTCCTTTGAGCTAACTTATGTGTATAGGGGATTCGGTTGTCTTGATATCGCCTCAGGCCCCGTCATAGGCGTGCACAGCGACTAAATTTGAAAAACCGTAAGGTTTACGATTCAATAACATCCTACCCAGATGGAAATATATTTTGCGCCGCAACGGCATATTGGGCAGCAAATACTTGGCTTCGGTTTTCGGTTTAATCGCTCTGGGATACAGATCAGTGGGATTTCCGTATTAACAACAACATGTGTTTATTGTTTTTAAGCCACGCATAAGTATGTGGAATTTGTTAGATAGATCAAAAAGATGACTCGATCGTCTCCTTCCAATGGTGGAGAGAGCACTCGGCGTTCCGAATTAGGCAAAGCAAAGCGACTTGCTCTGACCCCATATCACATTCTACTAGTGTGTTTAGCGGAAGAATCTAAGAATCTACAAGTAATATCTCAGGCTTCATATACCGTTTATTTTCCTTAAAAAAGAAAAAAAAAATAATAGTTCGTTGGCGTTTATGCGTTGGTAGCTGTGAGTCAAAGTCGTCGGTTTTGTGACTCCTTCAATTTGACACTTTAGATCAGTCCACAAAATTCAAGTATTTAAGTCCACTGTCAACGTCGCCATAGCATATTCCAACATTTTTTTAACGCATAGTTCCACTCATTATTCTTATTTTCAATTCAAGTACAAAGAAATGATACTCCGAATACACCTTTGAACCCATATCGCTGGTGACCAACCCCAGTTTCGTCGCATGCAAGTATACGCCACGACGCAAATAACATGACGCACGGAAATCGCAAGCAGACGCTGGAGGAGCGACGGAAAGGTGAACTGGTATGACATTGTTCTTCACCTCTAAAACTCGATTTCTACGGTAATTTCCGTACGTATGTAGCTACATTTCTAATCTACATATAACTAGGCGCTCAGCGACTTTGTCGAATATGTCGAGAAGCAGCAAGCGCATCGCGCTCCTCTGCACCGTGATATCCGTGGAGCATCCGTAGCACCCAGCGACAGCGGCTATTCCACCGTGAGCCAGATGACGACAACAGAAGACCATGCGGAGCTCGATATTCTTGACCAGCTAGGGCTGTCTGACAATACAGGTCAGGTAGAGCTAAAACAACTGCTTCTGGATGACTCGGCTACCGCAGATGATACGCTGCAACAACTCGCCGGTGTAGTACAGGCTCGACTTGGTGAAGGTCGTGGGGAAACGATTTTCGACCTTGGACAGGAAGACAATGGGGATTGGATGGGCTTCAACAAAACACAGTGGGACACCGCCCTAGAGCGGCTCCGCAGAGCCGCACAAACGCTTCGGGCTGACTGTAAAGTGTTATTAACCTACAATGTCGGTGGTCCAGAAGAGGTGGAATCTAAAAACGAACGGATCAAGCATGCTTACGGCAAAATCCTCATTCGACAAGCCGCAGCGTCGCCTGAGGACGTGATTGAAACTAGAATCGCGGTCGTTGGAAATGTGGATGCTGGAAAAAGCACCTTGCTTGGTGTTCTTGTCAAGGGTAAACTCGACGATGGCCGTGGAAGAGCAAGGATCAATCTCTTCCGCCACAAACATGAAATCGAGAGTGGTCGAACGAGTTCAGTGGGCATGGAAATAATGGGATTCGATACCCATGGTGAGATTGTTGGACGTGGGCAAGGACGCAAACAATCTTGGGAGGAAATCGGCAGGCAATCTGCCAAAGTAATTTCCTTCACAGATCTGGCTGGGCATGAACGCTATCTACGGACCACCGTTTTCGGATTGTTGAGCAGCAGCCCTAATTACTGCCTGCTTATGGTTGCTGCAAATAATGGCATAATCGGAATGAGCAAAGAGCACCTTGGAATCGCATTGTCTCTGAATGTTCCCGTCATGGTGGTCATTACCAAAATAGATATCTGCCCGCCCAATATCCTCCAGCAGACCCTCACCCAGTTGACTCGCATCCTCAAATCTCCAGGTGCTCGGAAAATACCTATATTCATCAAAAACATGGAGGAAACCGTTAACACAGCGACCCAATTCGTTAACCAGCGGATATGTCCCATATTCCAGGTGTCCAACGTGACAGGAGAGTCTCTTGATCTTGTCCGGACCTTCTTAAACATCCTTCCGCATCATGGACAGTACGACGCTGACGCACCCTTCGAGTTCCTGGTGAATGATACCTTCTCTGTTCCTTTCGTGGGAACTGTTGTTTCTGGCGTTGTTAAATCAGGGGTGGTCCATGCCGGAGATTCCATAATGATTGGCCCAGATTCGCTTGGCCAGTTCCGGACAACAACTATCAAGTCTATTGAACGAAAACGTATAGCCGTGCATGCCTGCTCTGCTGGGCAGTCTGCTTCTTTCGCCCTCAAAGGTGTTCGTAGAAAAGAGGTGCGTAAGGGCATGGTCGTTCTCCCAAAACTTGACCAGCCTCCAAAAGTCTATCGCGAATTTGTCGCTGAAGGTATGTTATATTACAGCCTCAGATGTTCTCAGGTCACTTCTTGTACTTCTCATGGAAAATCAATACCCTCAGCTAATCATTATCAACACAGTCCTGATTCTTTCTCATGCAACTACCATCAAAACAAAGTATCAGGCTATGCTTCACGTTGGCGCGGTGAGTCAGACTTGTGCCATCATCGACATAGACCGTGACTATATCCGCACTGGGGACAGGGCTCTAGTTGCATTCCGTTTCATTCAACGCCCTGAGTTCGTATCAGTTGGCGATCGGATCCTGTTCCGCGAGGGTAGAACTAAAGGGTTAGGGATTGTGAAAGCAGTGTGCTATGACCCCAGCAATCCACTGAACCCCAAAAGTAAAGAAAACGCCGAAGGAAACGGTCAAGTACCACAACGACAGACTAAATAACGAATTCATGCTTTCTTTTTTTTGTTTGGACGGTATGTGTATCTGGTCCCATCGGCGTTCCTACATTAGCCATTGATCATCTGATGAAATTTCTGCTCTTTGTGGACTTATGCAATTGGTGTTCATAGACGACTATCACGACTGTTTTGGATGCTTCATTCGCATGTTTTTGCTCAAGTTCACTACTTTCCCATTGTTATTTCATTCAGCTTCACCTTTGATGTGCATATTGATTTTGCTTTTTTCTACTTCGTTTGGTTTTGGGGTTCCTTCCTCTCATTCGCTCCAAGTTGTTCATAATCTCATGTACAAGTGCGGTAAATACATAAGAGCCTTGTACAATTTTTTCGTTGGAATAGATGAAGCAAGCGTTGGAGATATACACTTGCTTTGTCTCTTTATTTAATGCTGATCAAGTACTGAAGTGATTGTATTGTGTCTATCCCCAATACAAAAATCCAGCTACATCTACGATATTTTTGTCAAAATTTTGAGCCCTGGATACCCAAATAAACTGCAACCCATAACTTACGTTGGGCTTCCGCCTCCAAGGATTCTAAGTTAAGTGGGTCTATGGTGCTTGGGCTTTTGCACAGAATTCATCCAACTCAAAGAACTTCTTGCGTTCTTCCATCCCCAGCTGCTTTATATCAACCTCTACGTTGCTAGTAAAGTGGCACAGAACAGAACTTTGCGTTAGTATGGAAAATGCATTCCGTACCAAAAATTCCACTTCTCTCAGCTGAGGAGCAACCGCGGATGGACTCCCAGAAACATCCGCCAACAGTCTTCTCAGGCCCAGTTCAATGCACTCCAGAAATACTGCCGAATGGTCCGAATGAAGATTTTCAGCGGTCTTCTTTAAGACATGGCCTCAGCAACCATCGCCAGAAGATGTTTATACTCAAGCTCATGCTCAATATTTAGCGAGATCTGGCCCGGACAAGCGAAAGGTATTTAGAAGACACAGGCTCACATTACAATCCACCACCTACTGTATTTCTGGGAATGAATTTGTTTGTCAAGTGGGGTTCCAATGTTACAATTGCTGAAGGCCAACTGGTGATCCGCTGCAATATATCTTCGCACAGCATCCCTGAGATTTACAGGGTTAATTGAGCTCACGATTATGTATTCTGTATTTATATGCGAAACGTGAGAATGAACCAGCGTAACCCCTGAGTATATTTAGAAACGATGCTTTTGGGGGCTGATCAAGGATTCCTGCAAAAAGAAAAGTTAAATTTCGTGGAGGCGGAGTGATCATCAGTACTGCACATCTTTAGAATATCTGATCGGTATCCAACACCAATTGGCAATATCGCTATGCCCAGGCATATATACAAACCAAAGAAAAATCCTCCTTATAAGCTCTACTCAAATAATAGCTTCAACTCCTCAATCCTTTCCTTCCTCCGCTCTTCCTCGCCCCCATCACCTCCAACCCTCAATCCCAATGATCCCGCAATCATCATTTTCCGTTCTTGAATCCTTAAAATACGACCCTCAATACTATCCTTCACAATAAATCTGGTCACAGTTACATCTTTCAGTTGACCCATGCGATGAACCCTATCGATCGCCTGAGCTTCAGTTGCAAAGCTCCACCACGGGTCCATCATGAACACCTGATTGGCAGCGGTAAGATTCAACCCGACTCCCCCAGCACGAAGACTGATTAATAAGACGTTTGGAGGGGGGGCTTTAATGTGAGAGTGTGACGAGGGAAATTTCGATTGGCGCTTGTTGTTACCATCTTCATCCTCTTCTCGTCAGGAAATGTGCAGAAGTGAATTTGGCCAGGACTTCCGAGCGCGCCTTCTGCGCCATGGTGCCATCGAAACGGAGATATGGAATTCCCACACGGGTCAACTGCGGTCCAATGAGGTCGTGAAATGAGGTGAATTGTGAGAAAACAACGGATTTGGTGTTTGGCGGAAGGTTTGTCAGGTGTGTAATTAGCGCATGGATCTTGGCGGAGGTTTGAGCTGTCGGGGATAGAGGGTGTATGCGACGAAGAGAAATGCGAGGTGCGAGAGAGGATGACCCCGGTGGCGCACTATCGTACAAGTCTCCTTCACCAGGAGTCTGGTTGGGTGATCTGTGGCGGATAACTTCAAAAATATCTCGAATCGTAATGGTCTCACGACAAGAGAAGCAACGAGGCATTTGACCTTTGTCTCTTTGGTGCTCTACGTAGTCTACTAGACATTTTTTGCAAGCACTGTGCCAGCAGGAGGTGACTGCAGGGTCAACCATCGGTTCATCCGTGCATATAGGACATTCCCCACTTGTCTCGGTCTGAATCTGTCGTAGAGCATGCGTAGTGAACTTGCTAGTAGGGTCATGCTGACCGTCAGGATTCTCGCTAGAGGTAGCCATCGTGAATCGGTCAATGAGGTCCTGAAGGTCCATATCATCCTTGAAAACGTTAGCATCATCGGCAGCGATAGCTGCATCCTCTTCTTCTGCAACTATGTTTTGATTTCGCGTAAGCACGGGATGGCAACACGTTTGGCGCAGACGAAGAATTTGCGCAAAAATGGTCGTATACGATTTTAAAAGTGTGCCTGCCGCCACATTGTCATTGAATGTTCGCTTAGCCCGAGTGAATATCAAGTCATAAATTTCGCGTTCTTGGCTTGAAAGTTCCACTTCAGCTATTTTAATGGTTCGAGAGGGTAGAGGGACGAGTGCCTCGCCGTCGGGGGTCTTCATAGTCTTGGTTCGACGGAGGACAAGCGGTTCAAGGACAGTTTGCACAACATTTAGCGCACGCAAAAAATCCTTCGATTCGAATGGAACGGTGACAAAAGTTTTCCAGAAAGAAAAGTTGCTCCACGGCTCTACTTTGAGGAATCGTACCAGGCTGAAGAGATCTTCAAGCCGATTGACGATAGGAGTGCCTGTGAGAGCCCATCGATGAGTGCCTTTAATATCATAACATGCCCGCGCAGTTTTAGAGGCCCTGTTCTTGATATAGTGCGCTTCGTCGAGAATAACACGGAAAAAGTCCACAGAAAAAAGACCCCCACTCGAATTCATAGCAGACCGACCGGCGAGCTGGCTATGTTCTGAACGAACAACACCATAGCTCGTAATTATAAGGTTTGGAGAAGAATTTGGATTGGACATAGACATGGAGCAGAGCTTTCTCAAATCTGCTGTTTTATCGCTACCGTAGTAAACCAAAACCTTCATTGATCCTTCTTTTGAAGCCTTCATTGCCTCACTCTCCCATTGGGCGAGAAGAGAAGTTGGAGCTACAACAAGGGTGGTATACGGAGCGGGCACAGGTAGAGCGGCATTGAAAAAAGCTCCCGATAAGGTATCAAACCCTGCGGACTGACCTTTGACTACCTCAGGTTTGTGAGAGTGGATCAAGCTTAACATCTCAATAGTTTTCCCAAGACCCATTTCGTCTGCTAGAATCCCGCCTAAACAATTTTGTTCTTGGACCGGAAATTCTAGACTGAGCTCACCAGAGTAGGGGTTGACATAGAACTTTTCACGATTGGGCACACGAGGTAGTGGTTTACAATCCATATCCTCCGTTGGCCAAGAATATTCTTCCCACAACGGGTGCATAGATTGCTGAAGTTTCGGATGGACATCTCTCTCTTTACCTAACATCCAATGCAAAGCCTGTTTTTGGTACTTTCGAAGGTCCATAGCGAAATCAGGTCCGGGTTCCATTTCAGGCATATTGAAATCAAAAGATTGGGCCTTCTTATATAGGGTATCAAGCTGGTCTTCATCGAGCTTCTCGCCATCTTCCTCATCTGAAGATTCGCTAGCGCCACTTTGCTGGGCCGTAGAGTTTGATGTCCTTTTGAGCCTCTCACTCAACTTCTCGTTCATCTGCGCCGCCTGAAGCAAGCCTTCCTTCTTGTGACGCGCCATCATTTCATTAACCGATGTTGGTTCAAGGTGGATTTCGCTAAAAAGTTTAACTAATGCGACTTGTCGCAAGCGAAGGGCTTTTTCCTCTGCAGTTTCTTGCTCCTCGAATATTCTTGGAGGGGCATTATCATCCCCAAGCGCCGTAAAAGACTTCTGCTGAAACACACCTCTCCATAGAAAACATTTCAACTGGAGGTATATGGTTTCATTTACACGGATCTGATCCGGGGCAAAAACACATACACCTTCAAATCGGCATATTTTCTGATCAATCAAAGTCGAAACCCACTCAGCCGTTTCCCGGGGGAGTCTCCCAATCTCTTCGCCATCTCCATTAGTGAACCGCGTTATCACATCGCTTTTTTGATTTGACATCCGTGCAACCGGTTTGCCTCCTCTCCCAGGTTTCATGGTTGGTTGTAATTTAGTCCGCTCAATGTTGACCAGCTCTCCGTGTTTCACTAAATTCGTGCCATTCTTCGTTGACCATGCGCCAACACCAAAAGAGCCTATATAGCGAAATTCAGGATCAGTCGTGATAATATTAGGATCATCTTCGGCATCGTGGGATGCGTCTTCGACTATGGTGATTGGCAATTTCGTATGAGGATTCGTAATTGGTTCGGGGGGCGTTCCATTTTGTACAGGGGATATTACCGTAGACATCTGTGTCGCGGCGTCTCCGCCCCAAGAACCGTCAAGATAAAGATTAATTGCTGTTTGCATGTCACCCTTTGCAGCTATTCGAATTTTTTGAACGGTGCTTGCATCAACTGGCTGCCCAACGATGCTAGTGAAAAGTTCACCGTCAAATCCATCCTCAACCGCAGCGACAGTTCCAGCTGCCAATCTAGTAGTATCATGAGCGGTGAGAGATGGAGCTTCAGAGTTCAAGATGTCAGGTGTTGGGCTTCGGGCTGACTTGGCCCTCTCGGACAACGCGTCCATGGCCTGTGTGGCTTCATTCGAGGGGATTGCACTGTCATCTTCAACAAAGAAACGGCGTTTCTTTGACGGTCGTTCGATATCAGCACAAGCAATGCCGTGGGTGGCCATATCGGCCTAATAACAGGTGAAAGGGGCAGCTGTGATGCTGGAATGTCGCCAACTTCGGAGGACTTTTATCGGCGGCCGAGGAGACGCGCTAAGGGCCAAATCACGGGAACACGGCAATAACGCGACTTTCCGACTTAGCGACGTCATGGCGACAAAAAATATCGGAGTCGCCAATGGGCACGGTTGCGTTACAGATCAATGGATCTCGGGATCGATTTCATCGTTGCAGGCCAATCGTTGCACATTCGAGCCAATGTCAATTCCTTTGACCGTCGCCGGAATGATTTGACTTGGTGATTACATTTTTCCAAGTGCGGGAAATTTTGCATGGGTTCCTGAACTAAAAGCTCCTGATACTCCCCGACAACTAAATATCACCACACCAACTTGCTATCTGTTATGGTGCAAATGTCCTTTAAGACACCTGTCGCATGCCTGCGCTGCGCTGCTCGACGCCTGAAAATACATCAAACACACACTCCTCTCGGAACTTTATACCAGACCGGCCGGCATTTTTCAAAATCTGCAACACTGTCATCTAATTCTTCATTACCAGCAGCCAAATCGGAGTTTGAATCGTCCCATAAATATTGTCTTGACCTTCTCCGGCGAGTAACACTGATCTTTTAATTTCCCTGAGAATCAATCAAGATAGCAATCTAATTGAAACTAGAAAATATGACCGGCCTTCCTTCACCCTTAGTGCGTTCATTCCCCGCCAAACCCTCAGCTTCTACCTCGCCCTTCGGGCCCTTAACGTTTCCCTCTCCATGATCCCCGACACCACCTCGACCCCGACAATCGGACTGATGCGTCTTCAATTCTGGCGGGATACAATCACACGAACGCTAGCCGGTAAACCGCCAAAGGAGCCCATTGCCATTCTGCTCGCATCGGCGCTCTCAGAGCTTGACACGCGCACAGGGGGCCAAGCACGAATAAGCAAAGGATGGTTCCTACGGATGATAAACTCGCGCGAACAATACCTTACAAACACGCCTTACACATCCATATCTGCGCTGGAGTCATACGCTGAAAATACCTATTCCACCCTGCTCTATCTAACCCTCAGCGCCCTGCCCCTGACTTCCGTTACAGCAGATCACCTCGCATCGCACATAGGAAAGGCAGCAGGAATCTCCACCGTGCTACGGGGGATACCACTAATTGCTTTCCCGGGACCCCCAAACCATCACTCGAACCAACATGGGGGCTTGGGCGGTGGAGCCGGCGGTGGTTCTGGCGCTCGGGTCGGAACCATCACGCTTCCGCTCGACGTCATGGCAGAAACAGGACTAAAGGAGGAAGATGTCTTTCGACACGGCGCGGAAGCCCCAGGACTTCGTGATGCGGTGTTCACTGTTGCGACTCGTGCGAGTGATCATCTCATCACCGCCCGTCAAATGCTTAAAAACCTGCGAGCCGGGCAGGGTGTAGGCCATGATTTTGAGCATACAGGGGAGGAGGGACATGAATACAATGATGTCAGTAGCAGTGGAAACGGTGGCGATATGTCAACTTCCAGCGCACAGCTGGCAGAGGTGGAAAGATCGTTTGGTGTCCTGATACCTGCTGTCTCGACGTCCCTCTGGCTAGATCGTTTGCAAGCGGTGGATTTTAATATTTTTAAACCGGAACTTCGCACATTTGATTGGAGGTTGCCTTGGAAGGCTTACTGGGCTAATAGGCGTAGGGCATTCTAGACGGGGATTTTGTGCCCCTTGGAAAGTTGAAAGATTTAGTCGCTGTACTAAAGATACGCGTGGTCGGCAGTAGAGCTATATCGAATAAATGTATTTCTATTTCTATATTGTATTGATACAGCGTGATACGACGCATATACGCATATATATTACACGCGTCAATATGCTGCTCCTCTAACATTTCTATCAAGCTGCCACGAAAAGGAGATGTCAGCATTCAAAGGACTGCCAGATTAAATCAAGTGGGAAAACTATCTCAAATAACCACTCATATGCAACACACATGAGACGTCGTCAGTTAAAGTAGTAGGAGACATGGCTACGCTGGTTGGGATTCCTGCCGCCGTTTCCGCGACGTGTGAATCATATGTTGTTGAGCAAGTTTTATAAAGTATCGCTGAATCATATCACGCCTGTTGCCGAAATATTAGAACCCCGCCTTTAAACCTGATGATCCATCAAGACTAGACGAAAAATAGTGTCTATCACTCACATTAAAATTGCCGTCGTGACGATGACGAACGGAACGGCTATCGGCCAGAAGAAGCTGGCGGGATAAATAGGGTAAGCAGGAGGAACAATCCATACAGATGGCTTGACAGAGGAAATAACCTCATAAACACATTCCGTGGGCTTGGATTTACGTATTAAATATTCCCACGGGATTTATGGAAAACTTACGCATCGCTATGGTTTTGTACCCCTTCGAATCGTACGAAATTCATCCCGAAGTAGCCCTTCGCAGATTTAGTTAAGTATGAACTGTCCTGGTATGTGACTAGTTTAGATGTTGCCAGAGTGTAATAAGAACCACGAACCGTAAGGAATGTCAGTGGCAAAAACATGCATGTCACGATGGTAAGTTGTTTCATGCTTTCATTCTGGTAAGCTCCTGTACGAAACGGACAATAAGTCAGGGATTGCGTTTCAAAATATTTGAGTGGAGTTGAAAATATGAATGAAAGGAATATCAGCTCTTACCAATGGTGTTGAAGGTAAGATCAATCATATTATCAGCCGATCGTCTCATTTGATCATATCCTTCCGTAATGGTGATGCAATGGTCCAACACATCACCTAAATAAGTATGGCACATAGGGCTGATCCGGACGACAGTTAGCATCTTAGCTCCTTCCGGATAAGAATTGTCCGATTTCGTATTCACCGGACCTAAGGGGAGCGTATTCATGGATGGAGAAGATAAGTTTTTCAGTGGCGTCGTTCCTGAACGAGAGGCTAGCCCAGATGTGTGGTCCCGAAGAGTGTTCACAACGCCAATTATGGGTTGCATTGCGTTACGCAAAACAGCAATTTCGGAGGTCAAAATATAAAGACGCGTCGATTGGTGGATTTCGGGGTCAGTGAGGACACTTAATTCCAGGTCCCCAATAGCATCCTGATATGCCATTGTGACAGGGATAGCCAGATCGACGATAGCATCGAGAATAGCTTGGACGACCACACTTGCATCGCAACACTGGCGTAAGATAGTTTCAGGGGACATTAGCCGTTGGACGATCGGTGACTCGATATCTTGAGCACTGGCCTCGAAGAAAGAAGTTACGGTATTATCTGCGTGAAGGAATATTGAAACCTGTTCGATGGCAACGCCCAGGCCTCTTGATGCGAGGACAGCATGCCTCTCCATGAAATCAATGCGATCCTCATTGGGACCGCTTCGGTAACGTTGAAGGGAGCGTAGCCTGCTGCGCCTTGAGCCACCCGTCCGGAGGATCTCACCTCCACGAAAAGTGCGATCAAATGGGAGCTCAGTTGCTTTTGTCCCAAGTTTTTTCTTTCTCCCAGAGGGCTTTAGAACATCCATAAGAGCCGACACAATAACTGCTCCGTTTTTTGACTGTTTCCGTTTTTTTTTCGGCTTCTCATTTGATTGGCCATTATATCCCTTCTCGCTATCGCTTTCGCCGGAAGAATCAGCAAACTGTCCGTCCGACTGAAGCTTGACTAGTTTCTGCATCGCAAGAACAATAAAGGTGTTGTCTGGAAACCAGTCAACTTTTGTACGATTCACAGAGTGCAATAGATCCTCGATTGCCAATCTGTGCAATCCCTTATAACTAGCAAGCAAGCTAACAACATCCCAGCTCAGCCCATTCACATTAATCCATCGACATTTGACCCAAGGCTGCTTTGGCTTACTCAAAAACGACCCAAGGGTAGTATTGTCCAGGTGATACATTTGCATATCATGCTGAGAGAAATCCACAACTGTAATGTCGCATTGTGTGCTTTTTACTCGAAGAAGTGTTTCTCCTCCTGTCCGGTATGGAGGAAGAGGCTCTCTAGGATCAAGGCCGGGCTCGTCTCCTGGGTGCCAATTATCACTTTCTGATGTGCTTCCCTCACGGTGATAAGAACGAGCGGTATCTGAGCGTTTTATCCGCCGCTTTATGAAATCCTGCGACTCAACGCGTTTGAAACTCCCAACGTCCGGAAGCGCAGTCGAAGGAGTGGGTGAGTGCTCAGCTGTCGGGAAGGTTGGTAGTGCCTCGATATCGGGAGAAGAGCGGCTGGTAGGCGCTGCCGTGCCATAGTCACGCACTTCAACAGACATTGAGTGCGTGTTGGAGAAATCGAGGGAAGGAAACTTTGCAGAAAAGTTGAGGAAGTTAGAATCAGCTAGCAGAAACGTATTTTTCTTGAAATGATAACTCCACACACTCCGGGGTTCTCTATTGGAAGGGTCATATAAACGAGGGACGAGGGGAAACAAACGCAACCTCTGCTTTTAACTCACTCGTTAACAACAAAGTTCCGATGGATAAATGCTCGTAGCACTCAATTCCAGAAGATCATTTGTCTTCAATCCGTCACCTTTTGAACAAAGCTTGAATTCTGTCTTGGAGGTCGCAGGCTCATTACTGGTATTGTGGGAAGCACAATTGACCTGGGTATGCGACCATAAAGGAGATGGGAGAGGGCACACAACGACGGCTTCTCCAGTAGCAGGGTTTGAAGGATATGGAAATGGGTAAGCAATGAGAACAGCTGAGTTGAATGCGCGGCAGTATTCTGATGTCGTCTAACTCGATTCCTCAAGCCGCACCGCAACTGCCGATTGATAGCTTGGTAACTTTCGGGGCAGGCCGAGATGTCTTGGCACACTAAGTTCCAAGCTATTTATATCTACATCCATTTTGGCAGACCTGATGTGGGTGCGCCACACCGTTAATGATAAAAACAGCGTAACGATAAAAATATCAACTTCTTCATTAATCAACCTTCAAATATTAATATGTCATCACCACCATGATCAATAAGATGGATGATATTGAAAAACATATTCAGAATGCCATTGAAGTCTATAATGACAATCAAAAATAAAAAATCCTATTTCTGATGTGCAAATTCAACATTTCTTATCAACATCTTTGAGCAAGAATCAATGAAAGAAAAACATGCAATGCAAAGATTGCACTGAACAAGAAGCTTAACAAGAGTTAGAAGAATGCATTGAAAGAATGAATAATTTATATGAACAGAAATAATTGCTTATTAATTACAAAGCAGATTCAAGATAATACAAATCTCATTTTTAAATATCATCATATCAATTCTTCAATCTTCTCATCTGTGGTCAGCAAGATGTGAATTTATTGATATATATAAAGCTTAAATAAATATAAAAGAGTGTAGCAGATGGCAATGAATTTGAAAAGAATTGTTATAAAAAATATTAATTATATCAAATGTGATTAGATGATCTGGAAATTTTATTTTGAAAGTGCACATTTCAATCTGTGATATCTATAACTTTGATGAGATTGGCGTTTGAAGAAGATAAGAATGGGAGAATGAATTATTACTGTTTTTAAAAACTTGAATTCAAATGTAACTTCATCATATTCTCAAAAATGATCACTGTGATTGAGTGTATTCAACAGACAGTGAGATATTGAATTCTTTTATCATCATAAAATTCAAAACTCATTTTAAAGATTGATATATATAAAGCAATTTACTGAGTAAATATACAATCACAATGTCAGATATTGATTATATCAATGATGAGATTGATTTTGTTTAAATTCAATATTTTAATAAAGTTATTAAAAAATGTCAATAAAGCAATCATTAATTACTGTTTTTTAACAATTATAAATTTCATTTCACTGAAGAATTTCTGCAATACTATGATCTTCACAAGATTATTTTATATAGATTTTCTTCACATTCAATTTATATACTACAATTGCTAGATGGAGTGCTATTTCAGTAATATAAACATTATCATTCAAAAGCAGTTAATCAAACCATTCAATATAAATATGAGCAATATAAAAAACATCAGTTTCTACAGAATCTAGTTGATGTCTGCAAAAAAACCTTTCAACTCTTCATTATTTAAATGGTTTTACAGATTGTGACATCATTTTTTTTAATTTATAATTTATATTTAATAAATTACATTTTAAAATCTCTGACTGCTCTGAGCTGTGAATATATGAAAGAAATAACTCTTTTTCTTTTCAATCAAATTGTTCAACTACTTTCTTCTTGTAATCATTCCCCCCGAAAACAATTGAGAAACTACAACATCATATTTGAGTAATAAAAAAAGTAATGTAAAATATGAAGAATATACTCAATTTCAAATCATCTCATTTGAGCAATCAATTGCACAAGATTTTTCAAGGCAGTTTCATACAGATGGAACTCAATGCTATAAAAAAAAGTGAAATTAAGAATTATTATTTTACAGTTAAATGCTGTAGTATTAAAAATACACATTGACAGATTCAAGTAGAAGATATACATACTCACTGTGAAGGATGTAAATAAAAAGATCACACAACATAAAAAGGAGGAGGCTGAAAAACAATGTTATAAAAGAGTCAAGTATGTTGGGAAAGATTTGAAGAAAAACACCACAGAACCAACCCAACAAGAGGTTAATGATATATATGAATGTCTAGTGAATAATACTGCTACTACAGATGATATAGATAAATTAATCATCAATATGGTTAGCTATGCAGTGTTGAGATATTGATTT